CCCCCCCAGGCCGAGGCCCTGGCACCGCACTGCCTGCACCGGCGGTAGTTACGCCACTGACGCTGCCCACTCCTCCACTTTCACTGCTGAGGTGGAACAGTGACAGAAGTGAAAGTAAGGTTAGTATAAATTAAAGGTCTCTATTCAAATAAACCTGTTGCTTTGCTATGCATGCGCAATGCACAAATTCACTTACAACCCCAATTTCAGCTTTTTAAAATCCTTTAAAATTCCACTGACCATTATCCATAAAAATGTTGCTGTCATTGCAATACTCACCTCCTCTCCAGCACTGTCCCCAGCAGACTCACCGCTATGATGTTCGGCACCACTCCTCTTCAGAGTTGAATGACACCCAACATCACTCAACCTACTTTCTGTGAGCACAGGCTGTTATAGGAACGCTCCTTGGGGATGCATCATCCCGTCGGCCTGGGATCAAGGAACAGCGCTAATGCTTCAATAATAGGCTGCAGAAATAAGGACTGCTAACCACCGTACGTGAAGAGGAAGGACCCATACCCAGATAGCAAGGATAACTTGCCACAAACTTGTGGCAGGGTTAAATTGTAATTCTTTCTGGCTTGCTGCACACATTCCCTGGCAAGTTGTAGACTTGCAGCACAAGTTCTAGTTGACACTTTTTGAATTTGTAGCAAATTTGCTTGTCTACAGCAAGAGTCCTGCAGGTCTTAGCAAGAGCTCTGCAAGTGTACAGCACTTTTGTAAAGCACGTTGATCTGGAGACTTGCAATGCAGACTTGCTGTAATTGTGCAACAAAATTGTGAAGTTTGGCAAATCTGCAATAGTTTAGCAAGTCATTTTCAAACTTGCAGCTCAATTGCTGGCTATTTAGGTAGATCATGTGACCTGCTTTAGTATACTTGAATTTCCGGTAAACAAATCATTTAAATGCATTTTGCTGGTTCAGGAAAGAAGATGGTCTGTGTTGGGCCAACACATGGAGTACTACTTTAAATTCAGTCTATGGGCAATGAATGTATAGTTCCCATTAAGATGGCCATCAGTTCTAAGAGGTTTTGTAACACCGACAATATCTTCAACCAACCATTCTCTCACAATCAGCTGTGCTATGTAATTTGTACCAAGGAAGAATGCATAGATCAACCTTTCTTCCCACTCACCAACAAAGTAAGGGACAGTCTTTCCACTGACCACCAATGTAAGTGGCAGTTTTCCCACTGACCATTGAAGGTGGGCCCTTTTCTCAATTACCAGCAATGTACAGGGGATACATCTCTGGTGACCACCAATTTAAAGGGGCATTCCTCCACTGACAAACAATGTAAGGGGTGTCTGCTTTCTCTTCTGGTTATTAATATTTACTTATTATTACTATTTACTTATTACAGAAAATGTTTTGCCATGTAGAGCAGTCCTAGGTGTGAAATACTACATATGCCATATTCTGTTTGCTCTAACCATATTTCTTATTTTCACCATGCAGCAGCCACTAAATAAAGTTGCATATAATTTACCATCATCTGTCTTACTGTGTCACGGGATATTGGGAGTTTCACCACATTTAGGTAGAAGCTATACCGGTGTGTGGTGCGCTACACTTATCTCTCAACTCAATGCTCACTCCTATATCCAATAAGCTGTATGCATACCTACCAATTTCTTTGTCTGAGTCCCTGGCACAATGTCAATTCCGCTCAAGACTCACAATTGATAGGCCACATTTTGGGCAGTCCTGCTCAGATCATGACTACTTTCAGGGAAGCCCCACAAGGTCATGCCCAATTTCTGGGCAGTCCCATCACTAATTATGTAGGAGGAGGCATCAAACTAGTTCCGTCGTGTAGGACCTGTTAGTTAAATGGACCAATGGGCTCGCAGTCAATCAAATGAAATGGAGGGTACCCCAAGTTGGTAAAGTTAAGGGGAATGGTCACTCAAAGAAACCCTGTGAAGAAAGATCGAGGGATGTAAGCAGAATAGACAGAAATACATGGAAATTAAGATGAGCGGTAAAAGTTATTTCAACAGTTTCTTTTTGTTAAAAGGAGATGTATGTAGATGGCTGATGGGTATGGGGGTCCAGTTCATAGCAGTGTCTATTAAGAGTAGACAACCCAGTGTAGGGTATTGAGGAGTATCGGGATCCAGTCCATAGCAGATCTGAGCAGACAGCACAGTGTGTGGTGTATTGAGGGGTATCCGATCTGATCAGACAGCACAGTGTGCACAGTGTGCAGTGTGTGGTGTACCGAGGGGATCCGATCTGATCAGACAGCACAGTGTGCACGGTATTGGATCAGACAGTGTGCAGGGTATTGAGGGGTTAAGGGGATCGGATCAGACAGCACAAGGTGTAGAGGGGTACAGGAGATCGGATCAGACAGCACAGGGTGTAGAGGGGATCGAATCAGACAGCACAGGGTGTAGAGGGGTACAGGGGATCGGATCAGACAGCACAGGGTGTAGAGGGGTACAGGGGATCGGATCAGACAGCACAGGGTGTAGAGGGGTACAGGGGATCGGATCAGACAGCACAGGGTGTAGAAGGGTAAAGGGGATCGGATCAAACAGTGCAGGGTGTAGAGGAGATCAGATCAGACAGCACAGGGTGTAGAGGGGTACAGGTGAACGGATCAGACAGCACAGGGTGTAGAAGGGTAAAGGGGATCAGATCAGACAGTGCAGGGTGTAGAGGGGTACAGGAGATCAGACAGCACAGGGTGTAGAGGGGTACAGGAGATCAGATCAGACAGCACAGTGTGCAGGGTGTAGAGGGGTACAGGAGATCGGATCAGACAGCACAGTGTGCAGGGTGTAGGGGGGTACAGGATATGAGATCAGATCAGACAGTACAGTGTGCAGGGTATTGAGGGGTACAGGATATGAGATCAGATAGTACAGTGTGCAGGGTGTAGAGGGGTACAGGGGATTGGATCAGACAGTACAGGGTGTAGAGGGGTACAGGAGATCAGATCAAACAGCACAGGGTGTACAGGGGTACAGGAGATCAGATAAGACAGCACAGTGTGCAGGGTGTAGAGGGGTACAGGATATGAGATCAGATAGTACAGTGTGCAGGGTATTGAGGGGTACAGGATATGAGATCAGATCAGACAGTACAGTGTGCAGGGTATTGAGGGGTACAGGATATGAGATCAGATAGTACAGTGTGCAGGGTGTAGAGGGGTACAGGGGATCGGATCAGACAGTACGGGGTGTAGAGGGGTACAGGAGATCAGATAAGACAGCACAGTGTGCAGGGTGTAGAGGGGTACAGGATATGAGATCAGATAGTACAGTGTGCAGGGTATTGAGGGGTACAGGATATGAGATCAGATCAGACAGTACAGTGTGCAGGGTATTGAGGGGTACAGGATATGAGATCAGATAGTACAGTGTGCAGGGTGTAGAGGGGTACAGGGGATCGGATCAGACAGTACAGGGTGTAGAGGGGTACAGGAGATCAGATAAGACAGCACAGTGTGCAGGGTGTAGAGGGGTACAGGATATGAGATCAGATAGTACAGTGTGCAGGGTATTAAGGGGTACAGGATATGAGATCAGACAGTGCACTGCAGGGTGTAGAGGGGTACAGTGGATCGGATCAGACAGCACAGGGTGTAGAGGGGATCGGATCAGACAGCAGAGTGCAGGGACGAGCCCCGATCGCCGGACATGTGCTGATTGGATGAAGCGGCCAGTCCCAACCCAGGACCAGGCTGAGCTCTGATCACACACATAACGAAGCCCATCAGTAATAAGTGTGCGGCGCACCGAGCCCCTGACACCGCCTCCGGGACCGCGCCCCCACCCAACACCGCCTCCTGCACCCCCTATACACCGCCTGCCTCCTCCATCCCCCCCGCACACCGAACCCGGCCGGGAGAAGTCAGCGGCGGCAGCACCTGTAGCCCAGCGGCAGCACAAAGAGCCAGCAAAGTTTTCCTGGGCAGCAATGAGCTGCGGGTCCCATGTGCGGAGTGTGTGGGCACTGACATCAGCAGGGCTCATCTTCCTATGGGCGATCCGCCTGGCTCTGGGGCACACCAACAATTTTGGCTTTGAATACTTGATGGAGGAGAGCGCAGAGGAGCCGATCTACAAGGATCCATGCAAGGCTGGTAGGTGGATGAGATCAGCCCCGATCCGCTGACATGGGAAACTTCTTGCTCATACTAGATAGCCATTGAAATGCAAATGGGTGTGCGCACACTTTGCATCTTTATTAATCTTGTCCCTGGTTGTCTGGCAACTAAGTCCTATCAAAGTGTGGTCTGCTCCTAGAGGAAATGAATCCAGGTTTTTGCGGTAGACCTAGCAATGTGGTCACTTTGCATATGTAGTAGGATTATACTAGATGACAGGCTGATGTCTATTAGGAGACCATGCATGTGGAAATCCAATCCTTCAACCTCAGTCCACCAGTGAAATCAGATGAATGTTCCTCTATTTTTCATCATCTGCTGGGAAACTGAAGAATTTGAATTGTTAAGAAACAGTGATCAGGAAATCTCATCGCAACCTATCCCATTGCTTGATGGGGGTTCCAGTTCTCAATCAATTTCTAGTTGACACTTATTCTCTCAAAGCATTCAATCTAATTCAGTTTATACAATTGATGAAAGTTTGGCAGTTAATCTTATGTTGCTTTTCTTCTTTTAATCACCTTGGTTCATATTAATGATCAAAAGTTGGTTAAGATTGCCTGTAAATTAGCACATGGATAGGAAATCCTATCACTTATCAGATCGCTCAATGAGGGATCCAGTTTTAAATCAATTTCTAGTTGATCGCACATATTCTCTTAATTGATTGTGTATGTATGTATGCATGTATGTGATATATATATATATATATATTTCAGTCCATACATTTGATGAATGTTTAGAGATTAATCAGACGCATTAGTCGTAGGTTGCTTTTCTTCTTTTGATCAGATTAACAATCAAAGGTTGTTTGAGGTTTCCTGAAAATAAAATAAAAAAGCGGTCAGATTTCCTGACTATGTACTATCTGATCGTTTGGTGGTTGCAGTCTTCAATCGATGTCTAGTTGATCGCACTTATTGTCTCAATCCGCTGAATATACACTACCTGGCCAAAAAAAAAGTCACACACTCCAATATTTTGTTGGAACACCCTTTATCTTTGATTACGGGACGCATTCACCATGGCATAGTTTTGATCAGCTTATGCAATGTCGCAACATTTATTTCCATCCAGAGTTGCATACATCTTGTAGTGATGATGGGAGACCACTGAGTAAAGTTTTCTCCAGCACATCCCAAAGATTCTCAATGGTGTTACATCCCAAAGATTCTCAATGGGGTTAAGGTCTGGGCTCTGTGGTGAGCAATCCATATGTGAAAATGATGTCTCATGCTCCCTGAATTACTCTTTCACAATTTGATGGCTCCTGACATTGTCATTTTGGAATATGCCCATGCCATGAGGGAAGAAAAAAATCCATTGATGGAAAAACGTGGTCATTCAGTATATTCAGGTATACAGCTGACCATTTTTTTGGGGGGGGGGAGGGGGGATAACATTGCTGAACCTACACCTGACTAACTGAAGCATCCCCAGATCATTAAGGTGCCCACACACCTTGCGATAATCGTACGATAATCGCGGGAAATCCCGGATCGTACGATTATTGTAAGGTGTGTGGAAGCCGTGCGACCTCTACTACTGTAAGGTCGCACGACTTTTATCTTACCAACATGTTCGAAAACCCGCCGAGAATCGTATGATTTTCGGTGGGTGTGTAGAATGTTCGTAAGATAAAAGCAAGCGCACACTGCCCGTTCGGCATTGCGGTTGTCAGAAACCCGCGACTCAGCGGGGCGGGCTTGCGATCATCGCAAGTACGATCTGCCTGTCCAAGATAGGCAGATCGTACGTTTTTTAAAAAAATTACCTTACAACCATCGCAAGACAAAAGTCTTGCGATGGTTGTAAGGTGTGTGCCCAGCCTAAAGCTGGCCATACACCCTACAATTTATCTGCAGATTTTCTGTGGTCAGATGGAAAAGGTGCAACAGATTCCTCCATCTACACTAAACTGTGTGGATGGAGTAATCTCCATCTGGGCCAATCTGTTGCACTTTTTTCATCTGACCACAGAAAATCTGCAGATAATTGTAAGGTGTGTGGGCACCTTTTAACACTGCCTGAAATCTAGGTGGTGACTTTTTCAATTTTTGGCCAGGCATTGTATTTCAGTCCATAAACTGGAAGAATGTTTGGAGGTTGATCAGAAGCATTAGTTGTAGGTTGCTTTTCTTCTTTTAATCCCTTTTGGTCATATTAACAGTCAAAAGTTGGTTGATATTGCCTGTGATTCACTGCATGTATGGCCAGCTTAAGTCTATGATTTTCTAAGACGTGAATATTGCATGCCAAAACCTTTAGGGCACAATCATAATATGTGCTGTGAGTCATTCATTTTTTTTTTCCCTGCGTCTGATCAATACCAGTCACTGTAAGGGCAAAGGGCAGATGGAAAATGATTTTTGTCTGTCTGCCCTGTTCATACCGCAATGCTTTTGTGATGTGCGGTGCATTGAGGAAAAATGCAGACCATGCACCAGAGATCACCTGATGACAGCGCCAGTCACCACAATGCAGTAGGTAGACATGAATTAAATGTCACTTTGACATTTCAATAAAGTTGTTGTTTTTTTTTTTTTAAAGGTTGTTTCACGAAAGGCACCGCTCCCACCACCATTACCAGCACACAACAGGCACCAGCCTGCATGCTAAAACTGTGCATTTTAATGTGCAGGCATGTGGCCTTAAGGGCAGAATCACACTTTCCTGTTGCATTAAGGCACATGTTACTGCTACACATTAAACAATTGTACATGTGTTAGGATGTTGCAATGCCATTTTTATTTTGAATGGCATCCCACACATGCAATGCACGTGGGTCTTGGCACATCACAACGCACAGTAATGCAGCACCGAGCATTGTGGTGCACTGAACCACAATTTAAAAAAAAAATGCTGCATGCACAATTTTATGTCTGTTCTGGTGCGTTGGCAGCCCGGTGATGCAATGCATAAGAATGGCAGAGTGCGAATGGGCCCTCGAGATTCTATACGCATCTGTGTGTTGCGGCAACAGTGTTACTGTGTTTTGTACAGAGCTTTGTGGTGCCTTTTTTTTGTTAACGGCATCCTAACGCACCCAGCCAATGCACAACAATATAACTTTGTATTAACGCACCACGATGCAGAGGTGTGAATCATCTATGTGTTGTGGTGTGTTGGGGAAAAAAAATTCTGCAGGTCATTGTGGTTCATTGCATTTTGAATGGGCTGCCTTGCCCAATGAACATTAATGCACAAAATGCTGCACGTTACATTAAGACAGCATAGCTGATACACTGGGCCCTAGGGCCAGGTTCACACGAACAATCGCAATCGTACACAAAACCACGAAGGTGGCCGTGTGGTCACAGAATCGCACACCACCACTAAGAGCGCTGCCAGTGCCATTCTTTTCTAATGGCACCCTAGTTTCTGCCCGTGCAATTGCAGCTGAAAAAAACATGCGGTTTTTGTCGCGGAAAAAGGTACATGTACCTTTCTTTTTTTTTCATCGATTACCGCATGGATATAACACCATTGAAATCAGTGGGGCCGGGCGGCAACCGCTGTGTGCAACTGCATCCGATCGCACGGTCCCAGGATCGCCCAAGTCTGTGTCTGGCCTAAATGGAAACTTTCATTTCTACTCTTCTAGCTATTAAGTAGGTATTTATTAGGGATGCACCGATACCGATACTAGTATCCATATTGGTGCAGATTCCGAGTATTTGGGCAGGTACTCGTACTCGCCCAAATGCTCCGATGCCTAGCACGAGTACTTCCGGTATCATGATTACGTACCGGAAAAACATTATCGGTACTCGTATTCGGTACCAAAATACCGATATCGGTGCATCCCTAGTATTTATAAACAATGTATTTATAAACAAGTTGAACGATATGTTGAATCTTCTTTTTTAACTTGCTCTTTTACAAAGCAAGCGTCTCCAGGCTGACCTAGTCTCTGAAAAGACAACATAACTATATCAAGAACTAGTATACAGTTAGCATTAGAAGATGAACAAAATGCAAGGTCTCCATCTCCATTCTCCAGCATGGGGTAAACTCTACAACTTCTCTTTTTGTCCTCATAATGGATGGTAAACACAATCGAAGTACTAATTGACGTAAACAGGCAAAAGATAAATGGTCCTAATCTGTCAATAATTAACTACTTCAGGTTTTTTTTTTTAGGTGTGTCTGGGTTTTATGTTTTCCTCCAAACATCCTTCATAAACAGTGACAAAGAAGTGTGACCTCATGGCATCACATGGGTGATCCATTTATTGTGCCAAATAAGAGTCTGATTGTTAAATTGTAGCTTTTAGGTTTAGACTTTCCTGATTTTTAGGTAAAATGGCTATACTGATCCTTATCGGCATCCTTGTCTTTGCATAGGGTACCATTTAAAGGACTACATATTATCCTGTTATAACATCAGCGTTGTAATAGGAATACATACTAGAGTTGTTTTTCATGGTGCAATCAAAGCTGACTTGAAAAAAAATCCTTTTTATGTAGTGAGTGCTGCCTTATGTCTGCCCATTGCTTTAGACCGCTTCCTAGAGTCTCAGTGTGCTTTATAGTTCTTTCCATGCTGCTTTTATGTAATGTAATCCTGATTTCTTAAGACTACATATCCCATGATGCATTTCTTCCAGCAAGCAATGATGATGATACAGTGTTTAGATGTTGACTTGTAGTTCAGAAGGCAGGCTCTATGAGAGATGACACAAAGTGTATATTTACATGGCTGAGTGAAATAGTGTCAGTGCATTGAGGAAGTACATGCAATGGACATATTTATTAAACCCTCATGTTTTTTTTGCATATATCTACTGCTAACAAGCAGTAGATATATGCAAAAACTTTAAACCCAGACGGAATCATATGGAGATCGGTACACAAGCTCACTCCGGTCCCCTCTCCGCTGCAAGAATGCAGAAGTGTTGTATATTACATCACTTCCGCATTCTTGTGTCACTCTCCAGCTTCAGAAGCTGATGGAGTAGATCTGTGCTTCATCA